TTTTCCTTATTCACTGTCCAGCTTTCACATCCATATGAGGTTATTGAAAATACCATGGCTTGGGTCAGGCACACCTTAGTCCTCAAGCTGACATCTCTGCTCTTCAGTACTTTAAAAAGTTCCTGTACAGCAGATATTCCCAATGCAATACGTCATCTGATCTCTTGACTGCTGCTTCCGCGAGTGTTGATAGTTGTTCCAAGAAGAATGAAGTCCTTGACAACTTCAGTCTTTTCTCCGTTGATAAGAATGTTGTTTATTGGTCCAATGGTGAGGATTTTTGTTTTTCTGACATTGAGATGCAACCCATACCGAAGGCTGTGTTCTTTGATCTTCATCAGTAAATGTTTCAAGTCCTCTTCACTTTCAGCAAGCAAGGTTGTATCATCTGCATATCGCAGGTTGTTAATGAGTCTTCCTCCAATCCTGACACCACATTTTTCTTCATAGAACCCAGCTTCTCGTATTATTTGCTCAGCATACAGGTTGAATAAGTATGGTGAAAGAACACAACCTTGTCACACACCTTTCCCAATTTTAAAACATTCAGTGTTCCCATGCTCTGTTCAAACAACTGCTTCTTTGTCTAGGTACAGATTCCTCAGAAGTACAGAAATGTTCTGGAATACTCATACTTCTCAAAGTTGTCCATAGTTTGTCATGATCCACACAATCGAAAGCCTTTGCATAGTCAATAAAGCATAGGTAAACATCTTTCTGATAGTCTCTGCTTTCAGCCAAGATCCACCAGACATCAGCAATGATATATCTTGTTCCCCGGCCTCTTCTGAATCCAGCTTGAACCTCTGGAAGTTCTCTGTCAATGTATGATTGTAGCCGTTTCTGTATTACCTTTAGCAAAACTTTACTCGCTTGAGATATCAAAGAGATTGTCCGATGATTTCCGCATTCCATTGGGTCAAATGTAATTTCCATTGTAGAAAGACTTGTAAGTATTATCACTCACACCAACTCCTTATCAGATATGATGCTCTATTGTCTTTTTTTCTTCTTCTTTTCTGTTTTGGCTAGGTAGAATTGTCTACTGTTCTATTGTTATTGTTGTTAAGTGCCATGGAGTTAGTTCTGACTCATAACAACCATGTATAGAGTTTCCAAGGAAAAGCTAGTAGGTTTGAACCTCTAACTTTGTGATTGACTATTCACTGTTTCTTCTACAGTGCCATACCAGGAGTGTATAATATAAACTTAAAAATATACAGCGTAACATAAAATATTTATATGCCCCCTAAAGGGAGTCCTTCCTGGTGTGGCGCTGTGGGTTAATGCACCAGACTGCAAAGCCATTTGAAATAACAAGGTTAGCGGTTCAAACTCACCAGCTCCTCCTCAGAAACCCTATACAGGGTCGCTGTGGGTTGGAATCAACTCGATGGCACTTAAACACTAGTAACAACAAACCCCATGTAAAGCTCATAAAAATGTATTGCTTGAACAAAACAAACAGGTTCTTTAGCTTGCTATCACTGCTCTGATCTCTTCACAAACTAGTCCTGCCCTACTTCATTCTGACTAGTCATCCCTAGCCTTGCCTATGTTAGTCTGTTCTGGTATTTTAGTTCCAGACACTTCTGGATGGACTTTCTTTAGATTTATATTTTAGTCCTTAAGTTCTAGACCACTTCTAACCTGCTTTTATCTGGTAACTTCTTCTGGGACTTTATTTCTCTTTACTTGCTGTGTTTTCTAGACTTCTTGGATTTGTGTGGTGAGTATTCTGAGACCTTGTATGCTGAGAATTCATGTATTTTTATATTTTCTTACATGATAGATCATTGTCAAGTGCCATCAAGTTGGTTCCCAATCATAGTAACCCTGTATAGGATTTCCTAGGAGCAGCTGAAACTTGTAACTAGAAGTCCAGTGCTTGCCCTGTGACTATAAGACTTACAGTCATAGTTCTTTTATTTTAGTATTTAATTTAAAAATAATTACTTCATTTTCTTCTTGTACCCACTGATTCTGCTGAGAAGTTAGGTGTCATTGTTTGCTCTTATATTCTGAAGGAATATAGGAAATAGAGTTTCTGTTTTAATCATACCATATTTTTTTAATGCATCATGTAATTTAAAAAGTTATTTGAAAATATAACAAAGTAATAGCTTACTTTTCTTTTTGTTTGGAAAGAACAGTTTCTTATTATTTCCAAAGTACAAATAGTTCAGAAATCTGGAAGATTTCCAGTAAATTTATGGCAAACTCATTTAATGGTGAAACCTACCCTGACAGGGAGTCCTGGTGTGGCACTGTGGGCTAATACATCAGACTGCAAAGTTGTTTGAACTGCAAGGCCGGTGGGTCAAGCTCACCAGCTGCTACTTCAAAACCCTATATAGGATTGCTATGGATTGGAATCGACTCATTGGCTCTTAACAACAACAACCCTGGCATGACATGCAACTATTTGTAGATTTTGTTTATGCAACTTTGTGTGAACATTCATATGCTTTTTTCAGAATTATTAATGTGTATAATGATAAGATGCAGCAACAGACCCTGCTGGCAGTGTTATATAACATACATGGTGGACTAGTTTGTGCCTTCCAGTTGCTTCTGATTCATAGTGACCCTGTATGGGATTTCTGAAAGCGGATGGATAAGTTTTAACTGCCTACCTTGAGGGTAGCAGTCCAATGCTTATCCTATAGTGTTATACCAGGACTCTTGTAACATACAAGAGAAAAAATTCCATTGTCTTTGAATTTCATTTTCCACAAATTATTGAAGCCCCTTTGTATAGTACATACACCTTATCTTTCTGAAATCTGAAACTACCCCCCACCCAGGTGTCAGATAATGAATTGTAGACATGTACTTTGAATCTCAACATTTTTGTACTTTTTCATCACAATATTAGTTTCTAATAAAATCCATTATATGACTGTGGAGTTGTGGAGGGAGAATGAAGTGGATGTAATATAAAAGAAACTCCAGAATGTATTCTCAAATGAAAGTCTAAAAGAGTATGCATAGTTTGCTTCTGTTTAGGATTAAAGACAACAGAGGGGGGAAGATATACACAAGCACGGCATAGAATATCTTTGGATGTTTATACAAAGAGCTAGTATCAGACAGACCTGTGAGTCATCTATGGGAGCAATTCATTTTGTGTGTGTGTGTATGCATATGTGGTACGCACACATTTCACTATGTGGATTATTTTTTGTTTAAATATTAAGCTGCACAAAAATATAAGAATATATACTTCTCATTAAAAATTAAAAAATGCATTTGACTTCCAGATCTAATAAATGCATTGTTTTAATCGTTCATGTATATATTAGTCTTCTATCACAACTTGTTGTAATTCCTGTCATTTGTTATCAGGACTACACCCTGAGAATGAGTTTCAGAAATCTTTGAATTTCTAGACGTTGGATATATGGTATTGCCAAGGTTACTAGAAGTGGGAAGTAGAGAACAGAGTGGCCAAAGATGAGTGCTAATGAGCAGGGGTGGGAATTTGTGCCCCGTGTGCCAGGTTAGGCAGTGGGAGCAAAGGCTGGAAGCCATGAGTATGTGTGGGCAGCTGAACACAGAGAGGGATATTTTGAAAGACAGTATTGCAAGACAGAGGGAGGCAACGAAAGTATATTTTAGGCAAAGAAAATACAAGAAATAAATTTGGGACCTTTTAGAGAAAGAAAGAGAGATGGGGAAAAGATTAAATTTCAGGGATGCAGCAAGGTTATTGATAGTTGGAAGGTTTCTACGTTGTTTTCTAGAATGTAGATAGAAGTACAATTTCATGATAAATTAAGACTTGGAACTTATGGTAAAACTAAAATACTGCTTGACAAAGCAGAGTGAGAAAATTTAAAGTCCATTTATCACTAGTAAATAAATGTAGACTTAAAAAAGCAAAAACAGCTATTTGTTACATTTCACTAAATGTACATTTAAATTGGAGTTCTGGTGGGACGCTGTGTTGATAAGCATTGGGCTATTAACCTCAGGGTTGGCTGTTCAAACCCACCAGCCACTCCTTGGAAGCACTATACAGGGACACTATGATTTGGAACTGACTCCAGAAACTTAACAACAGCAAGAACATATTTAAATTATTCTTTTTACTCGCACAAATACCTACACTTTTAGTTCTATCAATATGCCCTGTTACATTGAAAATTAATAAAGAAAATATTTAAAACATGATATTTGATGTTTGTGTTTTCTTTAGTAAAACTTTATTTTTTTCAGTATTGCAACAATCTTGTTACCTGATGTGTAGTGTGCACTGTTAATTATTTAGATTAATATCAGGAAAAATTGTTGTTATTTAGGTATTTAATTATGTACTCACAATCGTTTTTTATGTGCAGTCTTTATTTAAATATGCAATCATTGGTAGATGACTAGCATGATGGATATTTGATAACGCAAATGCAGTAAAATGTCTTTGTAGAACTGTCATGAATTACTGGGTAGATAAGTATTCACACTGCATTTTTAAAAACATTTCGTATCTTTGAACATTTTCAGAATAATGTTAGAAAAAACATAACTTCAAATATAAAAGCTATTGTTGTTAAGAGACATTGAGTTGGTTCTGACTCATAGCGATCCTGTATAGGGTTTCTGAGCATCAGCTGGTAGATTTGAACTGCTGACCTTGTGGTTCATAGTCTAGTGCTGATCCTCCAGTTGCATCTAAGAGTCCAATATAAAAGCTGGTGTGAATTAAATAGATGTTATTGTGCAAATAGTGAAATAATAATATCCTTGTATCCTTTTTGTTCTCCACTGACTAAAATATCTGCAACATTTTTCATTAGTGAAATACCTATTTTCGAGGTGTATGTAAATATTAGCTATAAAAATTATTTTCCCCTTTTGATGCAAATTATTTTGCCCTTAAAAACAGCATTATTGGATACATATAAAAATTATAAGAGATTATAAAACATTTTTGAGGTAAGCATAAATTATAGCAGACAAAGGTTTAGCAACTATTTAGAACTTTTTTTCTTCTATTTTAGGGAATCTGGAAACATCAAAGCTGGATTAGAACATCTGGTAAGTTCTAATTTTCTCTTGAACATTTGCATCATCTTTGATATCTGCATTCTAAAAGAACACTTTTGAATGAGCTTTGAATACCTTGTATTGAGAAAGTCAACCATTTCCCAAAGGGTCAGCTTACTATTATTATGGGAAGGCTCTTACATTTTCATTTATCCTATCATTTCAAGGGAATTTTAATTTTTTTTAAATTACTTCTTTTTTTTTAATGTAGAGATGAAATAAAAAATGGATAACAATCCTTGGATTGATGATTGCTTTCATTATGGGCAAAAATTGTTTGGTGTAGATTTTTTGGCATATCTTGATCTGACAAAACAAGCTTGTGTGTTAAGAAAGACACAATTAAATGTTGCATGCATAAATATGGTATGTTTTAGCAATTTAACAGCTTTGAAAGAAATACTGCAGAGCTTTGTTTTTCCTGATGTCTATGCTTTATGAATAATGCATTGATTTAAATTCCATTCAGTTTTAGAATGTAAAGTAATTAAGATGCACAATTTGGGGTTTAAGTAAACATTTTAAAAGTGCAAGTGAAATCCAAACTGATTTAACATTAAAATCCATCCATTGATCAAAAAATTGGAAAAACTGGTGCACTGTAACAGGTCCGAAATTCACTGAACTGGCCATATTGAGTGCTCATTATAACATTAAGACTTCATTTAAACAGAGCATTATAAAGTCATGCTTTGGTTTCTGGTCAAATCCAAATGTTGAATAATTAATAGTAGAGATTCTTTTGTAAATACAGTCTTAAGTACTTTTTTAATGCAAGGCTTCATTCGTATATCATACTGTAGCTTTGTTAACTATTAATGCGCTTTGGTTCTGCTTCCACAAAAGCCAACAGTAGCAAGCGGCTACTTATTTTTTTACTTGAAGTAGTTTTAAAGTTGGAAGAGTTTTTGTTTTCTTTCAGTAGAGAAAAGAAACTAAGAAAATTAGATTTTAAAACCGGACTCTACATTTGCATATTATTTATTAAATAACAGAATATAATATTTTCTATAAGAAATTTGGATTATACATTTGTCAGAATTAACATCATTGCCATCATTAGGAGTTTTTGCTGAGCCTCTGTTTAGCACTTCGTAGTGGTTTATACACATATTTGGGACATATGTTCATCAGAATAAAAACAACTGATCTAAAACATTACAGTTGTATAAATTGTTAACTGACACCAAGGAAGGACAGCATAGTATCAAATAATTTGTATTTTATATACTTACAGATTGTGAGGGGGTCTTCAAAAATGTGTGGAAAAAGTCTGTTATATTTTAATTCCATTTTTCCATTAACTTTTTGAAGCCCCCTCTTAATACTTATTAAAAAGCCATTATATTACCTTAGTAAATAATGTTCCTTAGTAAATAATGTGTTTTTACACTTATTAGTAAGATCTCATTTTCAATGTCTATTTCACCTATTCATACTGTACTTATAATCTTATGTAGTAGCCATGGTGGTGCAGTGATAAAAGGACTCAGCTGCTAACTGAAAGATCAGAGGTTCCAATTCACTAGCCACTTCACGGGAGAAAAATGTGACAGTCTTCTTCTGTAAAGATTTGCAGTCTTTACATTACAGGTGTTGTTGTTGAGTGTCATTGAGTCAGTTCTGATCCATAGCAACCCTGTATAGGGTTTCCAAGGAGTGGCTGTGGCTGGTGAGTTTGAACCATCGGCCTTGCTGTTCAAACTGACCTTGTGTTTCAAACCAACTCTGTGATCAAGTGCTTAGTCTTCAGTAGTGTTGCTATAAGTTGAAATCGACTTCATAGCAGTGGGTTTATATTTGGTTTGGTTTGTATAACCTTTCACAGAAGTAATTTTCTTATGGTGCCTTGAGCTACCAAGGAAATTCTCCAGAGCAGATAGGACTCTTAGGTGTCCAGTACCTACTTTTACCCCTGTGTTGCTGTTAAGTGCCTTTGAGTCAGTTACAACTCATAGCCACAACTGCATAGGGTTTTCTAGAAGCAACTGGTGGGTTTGAGCCACTGTCCTTGTGGTTAGCATTCCAGTGCTTATCCTATAGCACTACAGTTCCACTTTTATATTTCAAATTTTCATACTTTCATAGAAGGTTTCATCTGACGAAAAAGTTCTCCAGCTAAAAAGATTTTAAAACATTTGATGAAGCTTCGGCACTTAATAAAGCCAGGAGTAAAAACGTTAATTATTCTTCTCTTATTCTTGACCCTGAGTTATGCTTGATTTTTATCTGGGTCATAGACAGCAAATATATTTCAAAGGCAATGCTTTTTAGGGATGGCAAAGACAGGATTAGCACAGTTATAATATGAAGATGATTTTAATGCAGTTTGTGTAAATTTTTTGAAAGATTCTGTAACTTTACATTGTAAAATTGATCCACTAAATGTAAATATGAACTCTTAACATATAAATGTGTACTTTGTATACTAATAATAGTTAAGTCAATGGTATTCCTCATAACTCCCTAAAAGTGAGGTTGAAGTCTCAATTTACTAGTTCAGAATTAATGAAAACGGTTTTGTCTAGTTCCTGTGTGCTCCTGAGGTTTGTGTCTCTACGCTTCAAATTCATCATATACCTTGTAGCCCTTGCTTTCTAGCATATGGAATCCTTTGAGTTGTCATTTTAGCCAAACATAATTAGGAGTATTTGTAGTAGATTGATTTTGAAAACTTGTATGGTATAAAATTAAAAGGAGAGGAGCAGTGTACACATTAGGAATTAATCTGGTTATTAGTCTTCATCATTGTTTGTCTTCTCCAGATTATTTATTTTGATTGCCATATAGAAATTGCATGGGCCAAGTGTGGTTAAAAAGTCCATATACATTTTAATAAGTTAAGAAAAATGACAGATGCAGCATGTTGTAGTTGTTGCTGTTCTTAAGTGCCTTCGAGTGGGTTTGGACTCATAACGATCCTCTGTAGGGTTTCCAAGGAACGGTTGGTGAGCTTGAATCACTGTGAATTCAAACAACCTTACAGTCCAGCACATTAACCTATGGCGCCATAACAGGTCTCCAGCATGTTATAATAGTTGCAAAGATATATATATATGGAGTCCTGGTGTGGCGCTGTGGGCTAATGCGTCACACTGCTGCTCCTTGCTGCTCCTTGGAAAACCCTATACAGCGTCGCTATAGGTAGGAACCGACTGGACATATATGTGTATGTATTTGCTGTTGTTGTTGTTAAGTGCCGTCGAGTCAGTTCTGACCCCTAGCGACCCTGAACAGGGTTTCCAAGGCTGTAAATCTTTACGGGAGCAGAAAGCCTCATCTTTCTCCTGCGAAGCAGCTGGTAGTTTTGAACTGCTGACCTTGAAGTTTGCAACATGATTCGTAACCACTATGCTACCAGAGCTCCTATATATAGTTTCACTGTCTTTGTATGGGCTGTTTTTGGTGAATGGTGGTGGTGGTGGTGGTGGTGTGCCATGAAGTCAGTTCTCTGCATGTGGTTTCCGAGGCTGTAAATCTTTATGGGAGCAGAAAACCTCATGTTTCTCCCATGGAAGAGCTGATAATTTTGAACTGCTGACCTTAGAGATTAGGAGCCCAACTCACTAGGGAGAAAGCGGATGTAGGTGTATAGAGAAAGATTGGGAAGTTAGGTGAACTGTGTTCCGTTGGAACTTTCCAATGACTGGCTAACTTTACTTAGGGTCACAATATCTCAAGTTCTTGATTCAGCCTTTGTTCTATCCTTCATTAATTAATTAATTTTTAGGATGATATTTTTTCTGGAGTCTGTCTCTAGCTTGTAATTCTTGCTTAAATTTCTTATAATATACTGCTGAATACCATTTTATTTTATTTTCAAAACCTTATCCACTATCCTTGGCCACTAATTCTTGTGTGTTTAAAGTTGTAGAAGGATGATTCTCACCTGAAGACTGCCAAATGGAGACCTTTCCAACTCTTATCTGTCATGTTTAGCAGTCGGCATTACAGTGTTAGAAAGAGCCCAAACTTCTTCCCTTTTTTATTTATCTATATAGTATGAGTAAATATTGATGCATTTTCTATTTTATGAAATAGGTTATTATCCCCTGCCCTCCTTAATTATCCAAATTTGTCCAGTGAGAATCCTTTCAAGGTGGCGCTGTACTCTTATTGTACTTTCTCTCTCCTTTTATATCTTTTTCTGGCATTTCCCAAGTTACCTCATTTGGATGAAACTCATCCTGTAGTTATGTTTCACTGGAAAAGTTCTTGCATACAATGTTTCCTAAGTTCCTGCCCGTTCCAAGCTGTTTTTCAATAGTCTTGATACTTGAGTGAAAATTTAACCGAATATAAAATCATTGACTTGCATTTTCTTTTCTTGAATATATTGGAAATATTATTCCACTCATGCCTTGTTGTATATATTGCTCTTGAGATCTCTGGTACTAGTGTATTTTTTGCCTTTATTGGTAATTTGATTGTTTTGCCTTGAGACATCCAGGATTTTTTCATTGCCTGATGAATCTCCTTTTGCAAGGATAATTAATTCTGATTGATTGTTTCTAGTTAATTTTCCCTGGCACACAGTGGGTCTTTTCATATGTAGATTTAAGTTTTCTCATTTTCAGAAAGAATTTTCTTGGATTATAGTATTAAATACCAGTTCTGGATCATTATTATTTTTTCTTCTTAAGGGATTTCAATTATATATTTTTTTCTTGTATTCTATTTCAACCTGTATCTAATT